AAAAGTCTCATTCATATTTCATCAAATTCTTATTTTTTGGTGTAGTAAAGTTTTTAATAATGTTATTGAAACTTTAAATATACCACCTTATATGTTGTGGTCATGCTGAACCAAAAGAACTGTTGTGGCTATTTAATCAGTATGCTCAAACTTTACTTGATTCTTCGCCAGAAATCTTAAACTGTTGATGTTAGGTACTAGTATGCATTTCTTAGTGGGTAGTAATTTATTCAGAAATGATAAAAATGTATGCTTCCAGTTTAATACTTCTTCAAGTACGGCCATTTTTTTCATGTCTAAAACATAAGAAATAATTGGTTCTTTATGTATACCTTGCACATATCCCATCCAGTGGCCCAGCAGATATGCATCCATATTGAAATAGTTCAGACATTCATAAGATAGTTGGATATAAAATATGCTGCATATCAGATCATTTATGTTTAATCTTCAGTTTGATTACCTCTGAACATTTATAAAGTTTCTTGTTATCTATAATTTAATTGAGAAGAGAGACAGTTTGGTGTAGTGGTTAAGGCACCAGGCTAGCAACTGGGAGACTGTGAGTTCTAGTCTTGCCTTAGGCACAAAGCAGGACTATTATTATTATTATTATTGAAGATGATGATGATGATAATAAGCAAAGATAGTACCAATAGTAATAGGTGCCTTGGATGTAATCCCAAAACATCTGGAGCACCACTTGAAGACCATTGGCATTGACAAAATTACCATCAGTCAATTGCAAATGGCAGCTTTACTTGGAACAGCTTACATCCTGCGACTGTACCTTTAATATTATTAAACATCTGTCTATCCCAGGTCCTTGGGAAGGACCTGATAGGTGGATAAAAATGCCAAATCCAGTCTAAACATCTGGCTGACTGTGTGACCAACAGTAATAATTTAATTGAGAATACATTGAAATCCATGTTGATTATAAATGTTCATGAGGAGGCCTCTCCCTCTGAGGCCTTTTGCCAACGAAAAATGTATTGTAAAATAAAGAATGGTGCATTTATATTAGATACAGGGAAAACACTACCTCAGCTGACTAAGGCATATTGAACCTGGATCTGGTTTCCACCATGCCAAAATTTTTCCAGAATCTGTCAATAGTAGCGTGTGGCTAGACAGTTGATACAATATTGAAAATGTTTTTCTCTAATGGCCAGTTTACCTTAGAAAAAGCTTCATTGCTGATGCATACCCTCCCTCAGATAATCAAAGAAAATCTTGACTATCTGATATCAACCCCCCACTGAACTCTTCGTTCAGAGCTTTTCAGAGCAGATCTTCTTTAGTTGGAAATCAGAAATTTGACAAAGGATTTCTGTCCATATTCCTATAGAAAAAATGGGGGTCCTTTCTATCTCAAGCTGAAGGTTTATAGGGAAGTTACTTCCCTCACAAAAAAATGTCTCACTAAAGACTGTACAGTACCCTTTCCGTAATATCATAAATTCAAAATATGTTTCTGTTGTTTTTGTGTTATAATTTTTCCAGTTTAGCATGGTTAAGCATGGTTTATAATGTTTGATTGGTTTTCTCTAAGGCTGTTATAACAAAAATAAGAGATTCTTTTCTAATTAGGAAATTTGCTTTCAGTTTTATCAATAATTGTACAATAACAGTAATTGTACAGCAGAGGCTTGAAGCACAACTGTTGAATAATTCCTATGAACTTATATTTGTTAATATAAGAAGTTACATTTTTCCCAGTTGGGAAGAGATTAAGGGGGGGAAATGGCACCCTATGTTTGTGAGTTAAAGGCTTTTTCTCAGATTTAGACTTTCCTTCATTTAAAGTCATCTGGACAATTTAGGAACTATTTCCCAATTAGCTTTGCAAAAATGATTAATCATCTGTTCATCCATGCTTCTGAAGGAAATGAGCTGTCAGTATAAAAACAAGGTGGGAGACAACAAGGGTGCTTGTTCTCTGTGGACCTGTGTGAAATTTGTACACACAAGGACAAAGACGTCTTAAACTTTTAGAGCTTAAAAAGACATTTGTAGAAGTTTTCCAGATGTTGTTCTGTATAGGCACAGATCCCACTTGTATGATACCCCAGAAAATATCCTAAAGAACCTCTTTAGATGGGAAAGACTTCAAGCAAGCTTTCTTTTCCATCTTTAATACTGGAATAATATTACAATTGCTGTTGAAGGGCAGAGGGCATGCTACTATTTCCTGTACCTTAATTTGTATATAATTTCTCTTTTAATGTATTTTCAGCTTCGTTCAGCATTAGACAAAACAGAAGAGCTTGAAGTAAGTAATGGCCATCTAGTTAAACGGCTAGAGAAGATGAAAGCCAATAGGAGTGCTTTACTCTCCCAGCAATAGATGGCAGCGGGTGCTGGAGCTATTGGACTGATTGACAACCATGCTGCCAAGGCTTATAGCTGTACCTGTTTGGGGTGCTGTGTTTCATACTTCTGAGGACAACACAATTCAAACACATGAATCCATTTGACTACATGCCAATATCTGGAAGATTTGCTTTTGCAGATTCTGACTGATACTGCGTGATTATGAATAGCTGCTCCAAATGTCTGTCTGTCTCAGATTCAGTACTGTAGCTATAAGCATTTAACAAGCACATTGGACATCCTTTTAAGTCCTCAATTTGATGTGGCATTTTGAAAACAATACTGAAAGGAAAAAAATAATAAAAAATTGATCAAACTGGAAATTTGATTTTTTTTTTTCTGGAAATACGTTTTAAAAAAAGACTAATTTTCAGATTTCCTGTTACAGCCGTATCCGAAAGAGTAGCGACAATAATACATCCTTATCAAGTTCTCATGTACAAAACACTGTGGAACCACAAGCCATTACAGAGCAAATGTTCAATTCTGAAATCATGGATGAAGATGGTCTTGGAAACAAAAGTGACCTTATAAATGGACTTCATCAAATAAAACTTTATAGGCAATTTTTCTCCTGTTCATTCGTGACTACTTCATTTCAGGGTCAATAGGCAATAGCTTCACTTTAAAAAAAAGGAAAAAAGTTTTTTTAAATTATTTGATCTCTGTATTTGGAATTCAGTTAAATGACTTCTTATAAAGGATGTGATGTTGCAAATAAAGGCAAGCCAATGTTTTAAAAGTTGTATATTATTTCATATTTTAATATTATACATGCTTGTCATTACTAAATGCTTGATTATCTATTGTGCAGAATTCTTTAGACATCTTCCATTATCTTTTATGGAAAAATGGGATATCTCTGAAAAAATTGCCTAGGCTAATGATTCTAGTAACAGAATAAGGTCCAAAATGAAGAACTGGCTATATAGTACTTTCCATTATCTCTCTTAATATCTCAACTATCAAACTTACCCATATAATTTTTAGTAGCATTTGTTGACATCCTGGAGGAAACATTAATTAGCTGCTAATTACAAATGGATAGATCCAGTTTTTACTTTAGAAGCATGGAGGGGGGATTCCTTTCAGGAATGTAAACTGGAGCAACCTTTGCTGATTTCCCTTAATTCCTGCAGCTCTGCAAAAGGTTCCACCAAGCAATTCTGAAGAGAAGGATTAAGGGGCAATATTGTAGCTTGAGATTAATAGAAATGCCATGGCCTGGTTGAAGAACTGTCCAGAAGCACCTGCAGGGTGTGAGTTTCATCAGAAATACGAAATGTGTTGCATTGTTGTGATAGAAGCTCCAGCCTTACACATTTCTGTGCAATATGGTGCATGTACAAGAGTGGCGAAACTTACATCATGATGTGATTTGTTCCTCCTGTGGACTTTGAGAAGTCCCAGGAAGCATGAAGTGCCAGATGACTGCAAGGGAGGAAATGTTCCAATTTTTAAAAAAGGGGGAAAAATCATGGGAAAATTCTAAAGCTATCCACAAGCAATTTGAAAACAATGCACTGATTATAAGTCAGTAGAGATTTGCTAGAACAAGTTTTGCCAAACTATCTAATTGGGTAACCTCAACGCAACTTAAGGTAAAGAAACAGGAAGTGTGCCACACTGTTCCCAATGGACCTGTGGCGCTATTACTATTAATGTCTTGGGTGATGAGGTGAACAGAATGTATATCAGACGTGTAGGTAACACTACAAATAACTAGATACCACTAGGTAACAGCAAACTTAAATAACTGCTAGTTTGGAAAAATGAGCTGATTGTAAGAGAATACAACTGAACAGAGATAAATGCGAAGTTCTTTACATGGAAAAACGTATGAAATGCACAGATGAAGACTTGTGAAAAGACTCTTGTAGCTGAGCAGAAATAGTATCAGCCAAAAAAGGCAAAGAGTTTTTATCCTGCAAAAAATATCCTGCGTAGTAATTTCCAAGTCTTAATTTCCCTGCCATTTAAAAGTCTCACAAAAGCATTTACTGAACTTTATTTAGACAGCACATATTGACATATAGCCATTAAATAGCAGTGTGAAACAAACAGAAGAAAATACATTAACAAGATGCTGATCTTGTGAAGATTTATTTCAAGGTGTCTTGTCAACATCTAGGATTGAATGTATAATCTTGTTTGTGAGCCCCCAAGGAATGCTCTCATCCCTATCATCAGGTATTGACAGACAGCAGAAAATGCTTTATTGGCAGGTAGTTCAAAAGGTACACATCATAGCCAGTGGACGAAGGGCATAAGGTAGGAGGCTGTATGATAGGAAATTTCAAGTTAATTCATGTATAGAGTTGGTAGTAATTAGACTCTATTGATTTTATTCAGCTTTACAGAAATACAGATGGCTAGAACAGAAAAAAAAAAAAAAGGAAGCCCTAAGATGGTTCACACAGGCAGGAAGGGACAAAAAGATCTGGGGGAAAC